TACTACTAATAATAATAATAATAATAGTAATAACAATAATAATAATAATAATAATATTAATAATAATAATAATAATATTAATAATGATAATAATAATAATTAATAATAATTAATAATAATTAATAATATTACTACGACTACATACATTGTTTACATTTCTTCTTCTACTTCTCGTCCCGGCCGCCGCCTGTCCTAGGCCCACGAAGGTGGACGATGCAGAAAGGACGGGGCACATTTGGAGATGCGCTTTAGCTGTCTCTTCTGTTAGGGCTTTAGGGGTTTAGGGTTCAGGGTTTAGGGTCTCTTTTGTTATGTAATCCGAGTCTAGACAGTACAACATGATAGAAGACAGATTGCAAAATGGGATGTTGCCCCACGGTATTTTATAATGGCGTTTCATTGTGTTTCTCTTCTGGGCTACACATTTGTGCAGAGCCTCACTGCAGCGGACTTTGCTGTCTAACCTAGCCACCTCAACCCAACCCTCCGAACCCGAAGTCCTGCAACTCAAGCCGTAAAGCCTACGTCAGGGTCAGGGTTTAGGGTTTAGGGTTTAGGGTTTAGGGTTTAGGCCTACGTAGTAGGTTCACCCTCGACCCCTTGCGACATAAGCTGAGGAGCGTTTGTCCATCGGTTGCATGGCAGTGTGGGCCAGGATATTTCGGAATAGTATCCTGGGCTCTCTTATGATCAAATATGATATGACAGCATCCCAAGCTAGTAGTCGAACTATTTAGCGATCTATAAGTTACCACCTGGCTTTGAGCTTTAGTCTGCATTGCTGGGTCATCAGGAGGTATTCCAGGGGGAGGTTTGTACACCACAATCCACCCCGAGTGTTCTGGGACCTACCAATGTCGCCAAGGTTCAGTGTTGAGGGTGCCTAAATTGGAGCAGATTGTAGGTTTCGGCTACAATAAACACCGGTTCACTACGGTTGATGATAGAAATCCCGCATTACCCAAAATAAGGAAGGTACCATACTCCCCATAGTTTAGGGTCCTTCAGGTAATGCAGGATTTGAATTATCAACAGTAGTAATGATCATAGACTTTGTTGTCGCATTGACTTCATCAGACGACAGTTCTAACCATGGTCCAGGGGCCTCCTACTTTTCGGTAGCACCTTGCTTCTTGAGTCTTGAGGGATGAAACGGAGCTCGTGGATGTTGGGTCCCGGATCTAGGGCTGAGGCCTTGGAAGCAAATAAAGAAGCCTAAACAATTAGCAATATTACTATTGCTTAAGGTTCCTCATTATAACTATATTAAAGAAGGGCCCAAAACCCTGTTCTAATTA